GAAAGACTGTGCTCGCGCATCTGCGAGGCGTCGCTCGTCTCGCTGAGCGATCTTACCGAGGAAGTCACTCGCGAACCGCAGCATGCAGGGATACATACGTTCGGGCTGCGTCGTAATGCACGTGAGCATGTGAATGATAATGTGAACGATATGCGGGTTGATGTGCTTCCGAAGACGACCATCCCGACCCCGTCCACCCATGAAGTCAGACAAGTGATTCCATGCCCGCGCGCGCTTGCATATTGTGCTTCTCATGCTGAAGGTGAATATCATTCACATGTGCCTGTAGTATGCGCAGCGCACGCGTCTGATGTGTCCCTGCAGGCTGCTGACGGCTGAGAGCACCTCCTGCTGTTGCGTACGCATAGTGCGGGCCATTGGCACGGCCACAAAACGCTGCACCTGGCTGCTCTGTGTGGAAAAGCGGCGCGAGCTCACGTTCCACTCCTTCATGGAGGGCGGTCGTGAGGTCCTGCAAGCGCTGAGCACGGGTGGTAGCATCTCCATGCCCTTTCTCAGATTCACCCCGCATGAGGTTGATCCAGTCCGCGCTGGAATGACCACGCTGAGAATAATAAAGCTCAGCATCAGCATCCACCTGTTCACCAGGTGCCGTGGTGGGCTTCGGCGGGGGGACAGCTGGCCCTTGCAGTCGGCAAAGCTGCTGGCCACGAGGGTGTGGCCCAAGTGGAACTGCCATGGGGAAATGCTGCCATGCGGGAACCCCCCCCGCTCGAGTCGGCTGCTGTAGCACCGTCGTGAGGAAGTCGGAGACCATCCAGTAGTCCAGAGTAGATAAGTTCCCAGTGACAGGGTCCTTGTAGGTTCCTTGCTTCCCTGCATGAATCGCTGCCCGTATTCGCAATGGATAGTCGGAGTTGACCATGGCGTCAGGTGGGACACTCCAATCTCCTGCCACCACGAACGACATCGCATAGTAAATGAGGAGTGCGCCGAGCTGCGCGAGCCGTGCCGCGTTGCGTCCCCCGAGCCGCTGACCTTGTTCCAAGTGCAGTGATGCCGCGAGGAAGCCACCCCGCATGCCCGCCTGCACAATCACACCAACTGCATATCCTGGAATAATCGCGTGTCCTCGAACCATCCCTTCCAGCGGGATCACATGTATATTCTTGCGGACGAAGAGACCAACGCCTGCAGTGAAGTGACCCGTATCTGTCGGGATAGCGTCTGAGATGAACGGTTGCCAGCCGTTCCTCACGCACCATTCTTCAGCAATCAGTCGGCGAGACCCATGTAAATGTAGCTCCTGGGCGGCGACGATGGAGTAGCCGCGAGTGGTCTGCAGGAAGTCTTGAAGCTGCGGCCATCCTGAGCTGTTGAATGTAACCATGCGTAGGTCGGCAGTCCGCTTCGGCGCTCTGTGCCGCAGCCTGCCTGGTCCAGCAACGTGGCGAACAAACACCTCCCTGTTAGCCTGCGAGTTACATACCGCGCCCGAACCCTCCTCTGGCCGACCACTGGCAAGCAGAGGAGGCGAAGCCAGAGGCTTCTGTTTGGACTTGGCGCCGACGCTCACAGACGGGATTGGGGATCCCCTTTGCATCCCATTCGGGCTGCAGGCTGCGGTGTCTTGCATTGCCTCTCTTACCTCCATCGCATTGTCAATCGATCACAAGTGCATCCGTGCTTCCCACGTCGCAAGGTCGATACCCGCCAAAACTGTGGTACTGTCACATCCCTGAGGTAGCTGAGCAACTGCATGGGGATAGCAAACGTTGTGCGCCCCTGCTGCAGGCAAAACTGCTCGCGCTCCAAGTTGTGGGAACCGCTGTGAACCAAAACCGTCATAAGGATGACTGCGTCCAGTCGGCCCCACATGTAGTATGCTTCCATCCGCGCGCTGTCGCGGCATAGTGTTAGCGAGCTCGACAACGCCGTTGTGTGCCGAGATCGCCAGGCAAGCAATGTCACTATCAGCGTCACGTGCCGTCACGCTGGCCCAGGTCCATCTCCCGATCTTCAGAGGGGGCCTGCGCGTCCCATGCTGTGGGTGTGCCTGGTACTGGTACTGTGTATGCCACTGTAGCCACTGATGAGGATGGCGGTGCCCGTTGTCTTGCAAACGCTGCACGTAGTTCCTGGAACTGCTTCGAGAGCGACTCAATGTACGTGGCCTCATTGCCAGCGGTGACACTGCTTGCGGCCTGCACAATCCGCCCAAGACGCTCCATTGACTCGTCCATCTCACCATGTGATGCAGCTCCAGTGCTGACAGGAGTCGCCGTACCCGAGGTAGCCAGTACAGCAGCTCGTGCAACCTGAACTTCTGAAGTGATGGCACCCAGCTCATCCTTGGCGAACCTTGAGCTCGGCAGCTTTGGTGGTGAATGCCTGCTCCAGCTCTGCCACGGCCGCCGTAAGGGTCTCGACCTCCCGCGTCTTCTGCTGCTGTCGGTCAAGTGCCCTGCGCAGCTGATCGTCGGGCGTGCGACTGGCATGCTCCACTTCCTCCGCCTCATGTAACTCCCGCTTGGCGGCCACCAGGGGGCTGGAGGACTCGTCGATGCCGAGCCTCTTGAGCGCTGATACGGCCTTTCGGGCCCGTGATACCGCATCTGTAGACGTCTGCTCGTCAGGCTCAGCATCTGCATAGGAGCGTTCCCTTCTGGTGCTGCTGCCTCCACGCGGCCTGCTGCCTGCACGCCGAGGAGCTGGTGAGCGACCAGGTCGACGCTCAGGAGGGCCAGCTGGGTCTGGTTTCCCTGCACGGTCCCTGCCGCACTGGTAGCACCGACTGTTGCTGGCGAAGTTCTTCTGGTACCCGCATTGGCGAGTAGCAGCACAAGCCCAACGAGGCTCCACTTGAACCGCATCCTTGGACTTAGTCGAACGACATGCCATGCACGATCCTGGCGGCTGCGAGCCGTGATGTCCTGCCAGGAGCGTTCGTGCCTCTTCAACTCGTAGCAGGTGTCGTGCTGAGGCCCTCGCTCTGCGCAGCCTCCTATGCCACGATGGGGACGGCGTACGCCGTCTCCTGCCGAGCGTCCTGTCCGCTGCCTCACAGCGCCGCTCGCGGAGAGCAGCCCAGGGCACGGCAGCGCGGCGGACGCCGCAGCGCAGGGGCCGATCGCGCGCGCGCGCGGGCGCCCTGCTGGGGGTGGGGACCCTCGACCCCTGCGTGGAGTAGGAAGGACGAGGGCGGAGGAGGAGGAGGTGGAGGGAGAAGGAGAAGGGCGGAAAAGGAGGAGGAGGAGGTGGGAGTAGGAGGGAGAGGAGGAGGGCGGAGGAGGTGGAGGATGAAGAAGGAGGAGGGCGGAGGAGGAGGTGGAGGGAGAGGAGAAAGAGGAGGATGAGGAGGATACTGTCGGATTGCATAGCTTTTGAGGGTGGCTGGCCCCTGTGTCTACGAGTGCGAAGTCGCAAACCCAGTAGAACGGGGTCACCGCGTGCTGGGTACAAGCCCAACCATGAAGGGGCCAATCTACGAAGGGTCGGAGTTTCCACGTCAGGGATCAACGCATGAGGGGCCCGCGCTACGGCAGGAGGGATGGCCTTATGATGGGTCAAGGCTTCAGCGATGGGGTCAGCGTGTGGCGGAGCATAGACCCAGAACGAAGGTAAACGCATGTGATGTCCTATACGAAGGGGCGGGTCCCAGTGAGGGACAGCAAATGAGAAGTCGGAACCCCAAGGAATGGTATGCGCATTCCGCAAACCTTGTGGCCGCAACCTGGTTCAACAGTTCGTATCAAGATGCGCAGGACGAGGTCGAGTTGTCGGCCAAGGCGCTTGTGCGGGGCAGCAGGATGAGCTAGAACGATCAAGAACACCAGGGTAGCAGTGTGGCGAACGAGAGTGGGGCATCAGACGGGGGAGGCCAAGAGCGAACCGGAACAAAACACCTGGACCAGGTGCATCCCAGGATTGGACAACGTTGAGAGGGAGGGGTCAACACATGAGCTTACAGGGTCCATCCACGGCGCGGGGTTTCAACGTCCGAGGGGGCGGCCCCCTCGTGCGCCCCGTGGGGCCGATTCTCGTGAGGGACGCACGGGACGCCAGTCCGCGGCACGCGGGTTCAACGCCCGAGGGGGGGCGCAGCGCAGACCCTGTGTAAAAATACGCGCGGAGGCGACGGGGGCGCCGCGGGGGGGCCCCGGTGCCGATCTCCAGGAAACGCGCGCGGAGCTCCGTGAGCTGTCGGCGGCGCGCGCGAGGGAGTCATGGGGAGGGGAGAAAGCCTCTCAGAGAGAGGCTGCTGCTCAGAGGGCGCCGGCCTCCTCTGTACATGCGAGGCCGGGGCACCTTCTGAGGAGCAGCGTGCTCCTGAGGTGCCCTTCGCCCTTTCCTCTGCGCGTGGCCGAGCTTGGGTTCTGTGCAGCTTTCTCCTTCTTCGAGAGGAGAAGCGAGCGACGATCAGGCAGGGGTCCTGCGCGAGACGGCATGGCGACCTTACGCGGTGGCCCATGCGGGCAGCCGGCGCGGCACGCCACATTGGAGACGAGGGCGCGCATGCGCGACCTTACGCGGGCGGCTTACGCACGAAGGGAGGTCGGCGCATACGATCCCGCCTGTCTGCGCCCTCAAGTGGACCCTGGCAGGAGGAGGTCGAAATCGGAGGCGTCCAAGAGGGGGGCGTCGAAGAGGGGGGGGGCGCAAATCATGGCCGGCGGCATTTGCGCGGCCCACGGGGGGACCAGGGACGTCTTGAAAGAAGAAGAGGCGCCCTGAAACCTGGGGAGGTATCATGGCCCCCGCCATGATCTCCCCCCCCCCTGGTCATCATCTCCCTCTTTAGAACAAAAAAAACGCCTTAAACGTAGCTTTTGACGCTCCGCGCGGAATTCTAGAATCTGCGCTGGGCCCCCTCCCTGGCGCGCGGAGCGTGCCAGGGGCGGCGCCGGAGGCGCCGCCGGGGGGGGAACCCAGCGCGGATCCAAGAATTCGGCGCGGAGGGCCAACAATTTATGCTTATGCCGTTTCTTCTTCCCTTCTTCTTAGATCGAGTGGACCCCGGCAGGAGGAGGTCGACAGGCCTAGTCCGCGCCGAGCCGGGTCTGGAAGACCCCGAGGCCGGCAAACGCCCCGTCCTCCGCGCGCAGGTCGCGCAGCACGGCCTTCGCCTCGTCCTTCTCGGGGCCCGCGGTGTCCAGGAGCCGCGCGGCGCAGACCTCGCAGTCGTCCAGCCTCTCTTGGGGCGAGGGCGCCGGCCGTCCACCGTCCAACGACTGCACTTAGGTCGGGCATGTCCTCCTGCAGGCGGATTTTGGACGAAAGATCAAAAGTGTACACAAATATTCAAAGTAGGCACCAAGTAGTACGAAAGATAACAAGTAGGCACAGCGTAGTTACAAAGAAAAGAAGCAGTCACAAAATAACAGAAGCATCGCCCCCTGACTATTCTTCGGCGACGTTTGAACTTTCCTGCTGTAGAGGGACGCGCCCGACTCAAGACTGCACCGCTCCTGGGGCCTCCGCAGGCGGCGCCCATGCCAGGTGGGGACACAGGGACCGCCGCCGCCGCTCGCTCGATCTGGAGAGCCCTCGTCGCTCCGGCTGGAATTCTCTCTTCGAAGTCCTCGTCGGCGTGCGCCCCAGGAGAGTCGGCGGCGAGCGATGGGGGGAGGGCGAGGAGGAGCGGGCCCTCTCAGGAGGCGGCGGGGCTTCGCAGAAGCCCTCCGACCTTCTGAGAGGTTCTCTGCGTCTTCGGGGGCTTAGAATGAGGTCGGGCGTGTCCCCCTCTGCACGCGGATTTTCAACGAAAACGGAAACATAGTCCAGAAATGCTCAAACATACAATCAAAAACCCAAATAAGGATGCGCGGTAAGGACGCAAGACCCTTGGAAGCCGAAGTTGGGATTTTTGGGGCGGCGGACAACGAAAACCTCAAGGACGCAAGAGCAAGGAAGAGCAAGGACGCAAGGGTACCTTGAGCAAAGTCGCGCGTCCTTATTAGGGTTTTTGACTGTAATCGAAAGCAGTCGAAAAATCGCCCCCAGACTATTTTTTGACTGTCTTTGAAAATTCCCCGTGCAGACGGACGTGCCCGCCTTCAGCTCAGCAGAATTCTCAGAAGGCCCGGGGAGGCCTTCTCCCCCTCGCGTCCCCCGTGGGGCTCGCCGCCGAGGCGGGGCAACGATAGGGAGGGACTGGCACGGGGGGGATGCATCGACCTGGGATCGGCGATACGTCGCCGACAGATCGGCGATAGGCCTCCGATGGTGAATCCGCACCCTCCTGGGCAGGCTGGGGCCGTCGGGCCCCTATCGACGATCCATGGGCGATTGGGGGTAGATGCATCCCCCTTGGCGGTGGACAAACCTCCCTTTAGTAAACCACCCTTTAACGAACACGGCCTGGGACCGAAACCGCTGGACCCGGACCCGCAAAAATGACGGCCGCGACGCCCTCTCGCGAACCCAAAACGGCCAATTCCTAAATCGACGTGTGAGGGTAGGAGGTCTATCCACCTCCGACCCCCCCTATGCCCATCCCCCCCCTAACGTCGCCCCTGATGGGCCCGCCGCCGAGGCGGGGCCCGGGGAGCAGCGGCAACCATCGGTGCTTCTTGGCTCCCCCGCGGGCATGCGCCGCCGCCATGCCTGGCCAGGGCGGCCCTGGGCCCCGGGGTGGTGTGCAGGCCCTCCAGTCCTCGGCCCAGGGGAGCGCCTCCCGATCCTGCTCCTCCTCCTCCTCCTCCTCCTCCTCCTCCTCCTCCTCCTCCTCCTCATCGTGGTCCTCCTCCTCCGTCCTCTCCTCCTCCTCCTCGTCTCCTCCCCCCTCCTCCTCGTCCTCTTCTTCCTCCTCGTCCTCCTCCTCCCCAGCTCCTCCCTGTCCTCGTCCTCCTCGCTCCTCCTCCTCCTCCTCCTCCTCCTCCTCCTCCTCCTCCTCCCCCTCCTCCTCCTCCTCCCCCTCCTCCTCCTCCTCCTCCTCCCCATCCTCCTCCTCCTCCTCGTCGTCCTCCTCCTCCCCCTCCTCCTCGTCCTCCTCCTCCTCGTCCTCGCAGTCGGCGTGCCACCACGGGGAAAACGCCGAGCGAGGAGCGCAGGGGGGGGCACTTCTGGCCACGGCGGGCCTCGGCGGCGACGGGGCTCGGTGTGGCGACCGAAGGGGGGAGGCGAGAAGGCGAAGGCCTTCTCAGAAGGTTCGGAAGGCCTCGGGCCTTCTACAGTGGAGGCCAGTCCACAAGAAGCCAGCCCACAAGACCACGTCCGTCGGGATGCCTCCCGCAATATTTTTTTACGGGGGGAGGGGAGCCTGGAGGCCGGGCACAGAAACCGCCTCCCGAAGGGAGAGGGAGGGATGTGCAGTGGAGGCCAGTCCACAAGAAGCCTTCCGCAGGAAGCCCAACCCCGAGACCCCAGGACGCCCCTTGATTTTTGGCGTGGGAGCGTCACGCCTTCCATCGCAAAACCAACGAAGCCCAAGAAACCCAGGGCGCCCTGGAGGCAAGCAGGGCGCTTCTTGGCACGGGCCCTCGCTGCAAGAGGCTCTCCGAACACCCCCCGCAGACGCAGACAGCCTCCGGGCAGGCCGGAGGGCCTCTGAGAGAAGCCCCAGCCGCCTTCGGAGCAGGGGCCGCCTCCTTCTCCCCTCCCCCCCCCCCTCGCTCGCCGCCGCCGAGGCTCCCCGGCCCAGACCTGCTGCCTCCTCGGCCACGGGGGAGCGCGTGTGCAGTTCGGCGTGCCGCCACCGGGCACGCCGAGCGAGAGGGGCGCACGGGGCACTTCCTGGCCACGGCGAGCCTCTCGGCCGCGGCGAGGCTCCCCGAGAGCCCAGGCTGGCGGAGCGGCCCGAGCGCCACGGAGCCCCTGCCGAGCCCGGCGCGGCCCTCGTGCGGTCGGGGTCCTCCCCCTCCTCCTCCTCCTCCTCCTCCTCCTCCTCCTCCTCCCTCGTTCTCCTCCTCCTCGTCCTCCTCCTCCCTCTCTCCTCCTCCTCATCCTCCTCTCTCCTCCTCCTCTTCCTCCTCCTCCTCCTCCTCCTCCTCCTCCTCCTCTGGGCTGTGCGGTCGGGGCGCGCGTGCTCGGCGCCACGCCGCAGCCCTCGCGCGCTGCGAGCTCGTCGCGCGGTGTCCCGCAGCGGCGCGGCAACGCGGCCGCCGCCCTCGGGCCGCCGCCCTCGGGCGGCCACTGGGCCGAGCGGCTCTCGCGCGGGCGGCGGCCGAGACTGCGGCCAAGTCTGGCACGAGAAGCAGTGGAGACGTACAGTGGAGGCCAGTCCACACGAAGCCTTCCGCAAGGAACCCAACACTGAGACCTCAGGACGTCTACCGATTTCTGGTGTGGGAGCGTCACGCCTTCCGTCGCAAGAAACCTAAGACACCCAGTGCACCCTGGAGGCACGCAGGGTGTTTCTTGGTGTGGGTCTCCACTGTATCGATGAAGAGCGAAGCCCCTCGCGGACCTCAGCCTGCGCCTGGACGCACTGCGAGCGTGGAAGGACGACTCGATGAACATCGGGCCCCTGCCGCACCCAGAGCGGAGTTCACTCCAGCGCTTTGGCAACACACGCCCTCGCCCTACACTTCGGTCGGGCATGTCCTCCTACAGGCAGATCTTGGGCGAAACATAAGAAAAAGTCAAAAACAACTCAACATAGGAGAAACAGTCAAATTATATGTTTTGACTATTTTTGAATATTCCTCCTGCAGAGGGATATGCCCGGCCTCAGCCTACCCCTCACTAGAATAAGCGACCCATTGTATAATCAGACTGTTTCCGGAGGCGCCACCAGGGGCCAGAGGCGCCGCGCGAACCTGCGACAATCTATGTGCGTGTGTGTGGGTGCGTGTACCACTAACTCCCTCTTCTTCGACTCCCGGCCATGCCCCGAGGGCGCGCCCAACGATCCAAGGTCCGGAAGGCCAGCCTGGCCAGGCCCGGTGTGCGTGGGTGCATCGGCGGCGAGCGAGAGGGGACGTGAGACGGAGAAGGCCTTCTCAGAAGGTTCGGAAGTCCCCTTGCCTTCCGAGCATTTTTCTGAGCCTTCCCCGAAGACAAAAAAACGCTACTCAGAAGACGCGAGGGCTTCTGAGAATCTGAGAAGTTCTGCCTTCGTCTGAGAAAGAGTAGCGTTTAACCGATCCCCATCCCCAGCGGCGTGGCCTGAGCCCCACTGGCCGATTTACCCCTTTAGATGGGGGTATAGGTCGTTCCTTTCGGGTTTCGAGGGGTGTATCCCCAACTGGGGGGGGTAATTTGGTGGGGGTCTCGAAGGGGATGGGGATGACGATGGGGATCGGTTGAACGATACCGATGAGAAGGCCTTCTCCTTCTCATTCCCCCCCCCCCCCTCGCTCGCCGCCGAGTGGACGGCTGGCAGCCCCCGCTGCCTGCCCTCCTCCCTGTAGAACTGCATCAGGAACCTCAAGGCCTCGACCACGTCCGTCGGGATGCCTCCCGCAATTTTTTGGGGGGGGAGGGGAGCCGGGAGGCCGGGCACAGAAACCGCCTCCCGAGGGGAGAGGGAGGGAGGTGCAGTGGAGGCCAGTCCACAAGAAGCCTTCCGCAAGAAGCCCAACCCTGAGACCCCCGGACGGCCCCTTGATTTTTGGTGTCGGAACGTCACGGCTTCCATCGCAAAACCATTGAAACCGAAGAAACTCGGAGCACCCTGGAGGCACGCAGGGTGTTTCTTGGCGTGGGTCTCCACTGCGGGTGGAGGGGGCGGAGGGGGTGGACGGAGGAGGCGAACGAGGCTGGAGGATGGCCTTGACGAGGAAGAGGCCCGAGGAGGCGGGGGAGGAGGATATACACTGTTCAACATCGGCGGGCAGCTGCCCCGACGCACCCACCTGGGAGGCGGGCGAGGCCACCCAAGCGCCTGGAGGCCGGTGAAGAAGCGGCCAACGAGCGACACGGCGAGCAAACAGCCGGGCGTGGGGGTCACCTCCAGCACAGCCCGGGGGAAGAGGGACGCCAGGACGCCGCGCGATCCGAGCCAGGGAGGGGAGGCCCACCCAGCGCAGCCTCCACGGCCGCACCGGCCCGCGCCAGCGCCTGGTGGAGGTCCTTTTGATCACCGGCCGCTGCCGCTCCAGGAGTTCTATGGGAGTGCCCTCGACAGCCACCAGGTGATCGTAGAAGCCCAGCTCGGCCGCCAATCGCAACTCGAAGGACGCAGTGTCCACCTGCGCCTCGAGCCGAGCGACAGGTGAGCGACGAAAGGAAACGGATCTTACGCGAGACGACGTAGCGACCTTACGCGGCGGCTTACGCGGGCCGCCAGCACGGCACGCTGCATTGGAGACAGGGACGCGCACGCGCGACCTTGCGCGGGCAGCTTGCGCGCGAATGTCTGTGATGACGACCCCGTTTTTTGAGCGGCGCGCAAGTAACGAAGCTGTCGTGCACGGTCTGGCCACCATCCTGCACATCCTGTCGCGCATCTCGCTGCCAGGCTGGCCAGACCCCGCTTGGCCCCCCTGCCTCCTGGGCAGCCGCCCAAACCAAAGGCGCAGATGAGGAGAATGCCTCACCCGCTACGGTAGGTTCGCACGGCGTCGGCGCGCGCAAAGGTTTTTCGACACCGCGCACATCGTTCAACCTTGAATCGATCACGGCCCAGATCGTTCGAGGCTGAATTCCGTCGGGTCCTGTGGCGTTACAGTGTCGCTCGGTGAACGCATCACGGGCGCAGAGCAGAGTTCAGTCTTGAACACCTTCGCCAACGTCGCCGGCGCGGCAACGCCGCACGAACCTACCGTGGAGCCCCAGCCGTGGGCTCAAAGTCGCAAGCGTCCACCGCCACGCCATCGCCCGGGGAACCAAGGGGAAGAACAAACATCACGGTGCATGCCGTCGTCGTTGAGCGTGAGGCCGCTGCCGGGAAGGGTCACGGGCTCGCTCCGCGCGTGCACGAGCACGGCCTCCTGAACGTGGGAATCCTCCATCGCGCGCCGCGCCACAATCATGACGTCGCCGGAGACTTTGAAGTCGCTGCTGGGAATCGCCACGGGTTCGCCCTGCGTGCGCACGAGCACGGCTTTCTCAGCCAGGTTTAAGTTGCTCGCGTCGTAACATCACCCCAGCAATGATTCCGAGCACCCAGAAAACCATCGAAACGGTGTCGAACGAGCACCGCCTCCCGGGGCCCGACGCGCGAAAACCATGAAGTTTAGGCGCTTTCTTGGTGCTCGACTTTTCTTCTGGTGATCAAGGCTAAAGCAGGTTGGAACATCATAGTTGGACGCCCGAAATGGGCACGGAAAGAATGGGTACAATGCCGAACAACAAATGTTGTCCCGAACCAACAGCGGCCGCTGCTGGGCAGGCGGCCTTCTGCCTCGAGTGGACACAGGCCGCGGCGGCGCGGACAGCGAACCCTGTTCAAAAAGGACAGGAACTGCTGCTGGGCATTGTGCCCATTACTTCCGTGCCCATCTCGGGCGTCCTGAACATAGAGCCAGGAACTCCTCGCCTCCCCGCGCGGACACGAGTTCGGGAGCGGCCAAGAGGGGGGTGTCCAAGAGGGGGGGGGTGCAAATCATGACCGGCGGCATGTGCGCGGCCCAGCGGGGGGGCCAGGGACGTAGTGAAATGAGAAGAGGCGGCATGAACTCGGGGGAATTATCATGGCCCCCGCCATGAGATCCCCCCCCCCCTAGTCATCACCCCCCTCTCTTCCGCCCCCGACGAGCACCCCCGCGAGCCCGGCGCGGCGTCGGCCCGGGGCACGACACGGCAGCGCTCTCCGACGGCCCCGCCCCCGGGGCAGCCGAGGGGCACGCGCGGGGCACGCGCGGGCCCTTCGCGGCGGCCGCGGCAGGGCGCGAGGGCAGCGGCGCTCCGGCGCAGGGCCGAGGCGCCCGCCGGCCGCTGCTCCAGCCCGGCGCACGTCCAGAACGAGCAGGAGCGCCACGAGCATACATAGACTCTTGGCGCTCCGCGCGGATGTCTCGGGGATCTGCGCCGGGCCCCCCTGCCTGGCGCGCGGAGCGCGCCGGGGGCGGCGCCGGAGGCGCCGCCGGGGGGCCCCAGCGAGGGTGGAAGAAATCCGCGCGGAGCGCCAAAAGTTTATGTTCGTGGCGTTTTCTTCTTCTTCTTCTTCGAACTTCTGCACCTGCGTGGGAACCGAGCAAGGCGCCGGTGCCAGGCGGACCCCCTTCGCGTCGCTGTGCAAGGGCTCTGTGGCTGAGCGAGCACTCGTTGAAGAGCGCACTCAAGCATGGGATGACGGCGAGCACCCGATCAGCCAGCTCTTGACCTCCGAGAAGAGAGTAGACCCCCTGCATGACTCAGCTCGTGCTCGCCACGACGGCGATTCCATTCGGCGGATTACTTCAGCCACGGACCAGGCAGGCGCGCACTACCCGCGCCTTCCCCCGCGATTCCGCCGAAGCGCCCGAGCCCGCTCGCGCGCCCGAGCAGCTGGAGCCCAAATGGCTTGAACCCAATCCTTGCCATTGCTCGGACGTCCAGTTCCTGTGCATTGTCAGGCACGCGTTTATTTTCGCAAGATGTCCAGTATGCTCCCCGATGGTCCTCGCCGAGAAAAGTGCACACGTCGGAGCGATGCAAAGGATTAGCTAAAGAGGAGGGAGGAGGAAAGGGAGGGGGAGAAAGCAGAGGACGAAGAGGGGCGCGGAACAAGAGGGAGGAGGGGCGATGAGCCTCGAGAAGGAGGCCTCGGGAGGAGGAGGACGCCTCGAGGAGGAGGGGGAGGAGGAGCAGCAGGAGGAGGAGGAGGAGGAGCATCCCCGCACGCTGCGCAAGTGAGCAGTCGTCTCAGGGCGAACGCGCGGCGCGCGCCCGCGGCGGCCCGTAAAGCGGGACAGGCCTACGCGGGCGGGCCGTGCGACGCTCTCAGGCGGCCTCGTCCAACGAGGGCACCCGGGCGGCCAAGGGAGGCCGCAGCAGCGCCGCAGGTCAGCCTTCGAAGAAGGAGGGAGGAGAGAGGGAGGGGGCCGAGAAGCTGCAGACGACTGCAATCAGCGGGCGCGATGGGGATAAGAAGGAGCATCCCCGCACGCTGCGCAAGTGAGCAGTCGTCTCAGGGCGAACGCGCGGCGCGCGCCCGCGGCGGCCCGTAAAGCGGGACAGGCCTACGCGGGCGGGCCGTGCGACGCTCTCAGGCGGCCTCGTCCAACGAGGGCACCCGGGCGGCCAAGGGAGGCCGCAGCAGCCATACCCAGGCTCAAAGCCCTTGCGAAGTGACAAGGTTTCGGCGGGCGGCCGCGAGCTGAATGGGCCACACAGCTGGGCCAACATTCAGAAAGGATGCGACGAGGAGGTCGCTTGCTTCGGCGAGGTAAGAAACGCGGTCCCGAGCGGCTTCAGCCAATGATGGGAGGACTGCAGAGGCGGCAGCATCGTGGAGATAGCGCTCTGTACTGGAAGCTAGCCGCCAGCGATCACGCCAGAAGACGCGATTAATGCCGTCCGAAATATCGGTTCTGAAGCGCAGCGCAGGGGACAGATCGAACCCCGATGGCGCTCTGGCGAGCGGGACGCCCAGCGCCGAAAGAAGATCGAGCCACCGAGTGCGGAAGCCGCTTTGACCGAAGGTCAATAGGGGATCGGTGGGACTCAAATCTCTAAAGACCAGCTCCATCATCCTGACCACAGCACGATCGGAGCACCGAGCGTGTTGACGCTCTCCGCCAGACCCCCGGGCCTCCGGAACAGAAATGCTCAGCAAAGCGTCGCCCGTGGACTCACGGCGGTCAATGGGCAGAGTGAGGTCGCTCCGGCGGGCGGTTGCCAACTCACCAGGCCTCACGGACATAGTGAACCCGGCAAGCAGCAGGGTGGCCATATCCGGCCAGTCCCATGCGAGGCACAACGCTACCATGGCGCGCAGCAGAGCACGCGGTAGCGGTGGGAGGGGACAGGGAGGCTTGGAAGGGATCCACCGCTCCGCCACATCCCACGCCTCGGTGAGGAAGCCCCTCCAGTGGGGCTGAAGGGCCTGTGCTCCCCGGATCGCATTCACGAGGACGAGGCGGGGGAAGCCAGCATCGTACAACCACACGCCGAAGGTCGCGAGCGCTCTCCCGAGCAAGATGCCGCTGCGAGCCCATGTGGCAAGTGCCACTCCTGTGTGCTCGGCGCACCACACGTCAAACGCCTTAAGCGAACGAGTGCGCTGGTCGCCGCAAGAGGGGACGCGCCGAGAGTGGCTCTCCACCTTCACCCCGAGGGCCTCGGAAGCCCCCTCGGGAAGGGCAGGCTCCAGAGAGGCAGGCCAGTCCTGGCGCCCTGCCACGAAGGCTGACGCGGGCGGCTCTTGACCAGAGGGATTGGCAGGAGTGGTAGCTGCCGCTCCGGCGGAAGCCCGAACACGCCTGCGCTTGCGACGCGAGGTGCGGCCGCGTTGCTCGGCGCGGGGGGCCTCGACGACCTCGCCGGTGCTCGGCGCGGCTTCCGGCTGGCGGTCCGTGCCGTCCAGGATCAGA